TTGCAAGGTGACCTCAGTAGCCCTTCTAGTCCTGAGTCTTCCCAAATCCATCCTTCCTCAGTTCTTAACAACCATACACTCAGACCCTTCCCCTCTGGTTCATCGTCCCCAAAGGTGTGAAACCAGTCCCCACTTATCATAGACTCATAGAAGATTAGGGTTGGAAGAGACCTCAGGAGGTTATCTAGTCCAGCCTCCTGCTCAAAGCAGGACCAACACCAACTAAAGCATCCCAGGCCTTAAAAACCTCTAAGGATGGAGATTCTACCACCTCCCTAGGTAACCCATTCCAGTGCTTCATCACCCTCCTAGTGAAATAGTGTTTCCTAATATCCAACCTAGACCTCCCCCAATGCAACTTGAGACCATTGCAACTTGTTCTGTCATCTGCCACCACGGAGAACAGCCGAGCTCTGTCCTTTTTGGAACCCCCCTTCAGGTAGTTGAAGGCTGATATCAAATCCCCCCTCATTCTTCTCTTCTGCAGACTAAACAAGCCCAGTTCCCTCAGCCTCTCCTCGTAAGTCATGTGCCCCAGCCCCCTGATCATTTTCGTTGCCCTCCGCTGGAATCTCTCCAATTTGTGCACATCCTTTCTGTATTGGGGGGCCCCAAACTGGATGCAATACTGCAGATGTGGCCTCACCAGTGCCGAATAGAGGGGAATAGTCACTTCCATCGATCTGCTGGCAATGCTCCTACAAATGCAGCCCAATATGCCGTTAGCCTTCTTGGCAACAAAAGCACACTGCTGACTCATATCCAGCTTCTCGTCCACTGTAATCACCAGGTCCTTTTCTACAGAGCTGCTGCTTAGCCAGTCGGTCCCCAGTCTGTAGCGGTACATGGGATTCTTCCTACCTAAGTGCAGGACTCTGCACTTGTCCTTGCTGAACCTCATCAGATTTCTTTTGGCCCAATCCTCCAATTTGGCTAGGTCACTCTGGACCCTATCCCTTCCAGCATATCTACCTCTCCCCCCAGCTTAGTGTCATCTGCGAACTTGCTGAGGGTGCAAACTAACTTTGGCACATACACTCCACACAGTCTGCACACCAGAGACCTGTGAGGGGTAAAAATAAACAAGAGGTCTATTTAATAGAAAAACCACAGACTTTGAGATGAAAGAGTAAGGGAGAGCACAGATACAAGTTACACAGTAAATAAACGGCACCACACAACTTCTGGCTTCACATTACAATATTAGATAAAATCCCCTTTCTAATACAAGTTAGCAATTTCCTTTGAACAGTTTCCCAGCCTACCCACTAGCCATAGGCAGGATGCAGCGTTCACAGACAGCCTCCCACCTTCCAGACTGTCCCCCAAATTCTGGATGAAAAGCCTCAGACACAAGCCTGGTTTTAAAAGGCTTCCCCTGCCTGCCTTGCTTTTCTTTATCTCTTAGTCCAGGGTGACTCATGTTTATTCAGAATGTGGAAAACCCCTCTTGATTTAAGAGCCAGGATGTCTATGTCTTTCCATTACATTTAATGATCCTCCGTTGTCTTTCCCTAGGCTGGGTGGGTACCCAAAGTTGGTTTCATGTAGACAAATGACTTGAGAGGTGCCTCTTCTTTTCTGAGCACTCACTTTAGAGTGAGTGGGGAGAGGGATAGCTCAGTGGTTTGAGCATTGGCCTGCTAAACCCAGGGTTGTGGGGTCAATTCTTGAGGGAGCCATTTAGGGATCTGGGGCAAAAATCTGTCTGGGGATTAATCCAGCTTTGAGTAGGGGGTTGGACTAGGTGACCTCCTGAGGTCCCTTCCAACCCTGATATTCTATGATTCAAGCTGGAGCTGAAGTTTTATGAGCACAGTTCTCTATAGACACAAATAAAAGCATCACAAGCATGGCCTGTGTACATACCTCATAATGACAGGTTTCAGAGTAGCAGCCATGTTAGTCTGTATCCGCAAAAAGAAGAACAGGAGTACTTGTGGCACCTTAGAGACTAACAAATTTATTAGAGCATAAGCTTTCGTGGACTACAGCCCACTTCTTCGGATGCATT